CCTAGAAAAACGTACATGCATATTTTCTCTTCCCATCTGGTCATGAAATGCAAATACGTATTCTTCAGAAATGAATCCTACAACACCATATAATACATCGACAATTGTATTTGTACATAAAATTGCATGTCCTACACTTGCATATCAAATGTAAATGTTAAATTTAAGAATTCTAAAAGTAATGTTACTAAACTCATAAGCTGTCACAAATCAAATACATCATGTTCTTCTGCAAGTCACAAAACACAGTGCGTTGAGGTTTTCTGTATTTTTGCTCATATCACAATGTACTGTTACCGGCTAACTGCTTTCAAAGAAAAGTCATAAATGAACTATCTACTGTGGACAAGTGCCATGGATACAGTGTTTAAACAGATTCTCATGCAAATTTCCTTTAACAACTCTTGGCATACCTTTGAACATCCTGCATTAACTTCTTTATAGTTACATGACATCCCATTTTCCTCAGCTCTCAAAGCAGCACTAAAAAAACACCCATTCATCCCCCTTTGCACTAGGTATGTAATGTAAGCATGCTTTGGAGAACTGCAAAAATACAAGCAATCTTGACAAACAAATTAAACATTCTCCTGCTATAAAACTCTTCCTATACATAACAGATTAAGATGAGAGAATAATTGCTAAAAGCAATTATTAAAGGAATGACTGCTACTACCATTTATATTTCTTTGCCCTCACTCCTGTATCTCCACTACATTTTATTCCATCACACTTTAAAGCATCTCAGCAAGGCAGAAAGTTATTATGATTTTATAGTGAAGAAAAGTGGGAGATTAAGCAGTTTCCTTCACATTCACTCATGAACCACGTGGCAAAAAACAACAGTTGAGCTAATGTTAAATATTTTAGTGTCAACCAAAAGGCTACTCTTCTCCTGGAAATCATTACCCGAAACACCTATATTTTATAGAAAGTCTCATTCCCAATTAGTTCCATATGCTAAAGAAGACTGAAAAAAATACTTACTATTCCTTTCTGTCCTTTTGGAAAAGAAAAAAATGAGGAGTGTTCTTATAAACCAGATTCTTTAAAACAGAAAGAAGAGTTAATTATATTAATTAAAATATATTACAGTAATTACAGTAATCATTTCTTAAGTCATTTAGGAAGCAGGACAGTTCATGTAAAAGACTTACTATATTAAGATTTAACTTTGCAAATATGAAGAACAAATCTTTAAGCAAGTAGAAAATCATAGATGAAATCAGTATCTTGACCACACAGTCACATTCATCTAAATAAAAATCCAACTGTTTCTGTTGAAATATAACAAAATATTACCACTACAGGTAGAAACATTAAGGAAGTAGCAGCAGTACATGACAGTTTGCTAAATCTTCCTTACAAATCTGTTTCAAAACAAAGTAGTAGAAAACACTGACTAGTAGAGGAGCAGAAAACACTACAGACTTCACAAAACTCACAGCATGGCTGAGGTTAGAAGGGACCTCCGGAGCTCATCTAGTCCAATCCCCCCTGCTTAAGCAGGGTCACCTAGAGCATGTTGCCCAGGACTGTGTCCAGACAGCTGCTGAGTATCCCCAAGGAACAAGACTCCACAACCTCTCTGGGCAGCCAGCTCCAGTGCTCAGTAACCCTCACAGTAAAAAAGTTTTTCCTTAGATTCACACAGAGTCTTGTGTTTCAGTCTGCACCCCATTGCCTCTTGTCCTATCACTGGACACCACTGAAAAAGTGTCTGGCTCAGTCTTCTTTACGCTCTCCCTTCAAATACTTACACACATAAGATCCCCCCCCCTCACTGCTCTTCAGGCTGAACAGTCCTAGCTCTCTCAGCCTTTTCTCATATGAGACACACTAGTCCCTCAGAGATGAAAAACAGTAAGGCTCTAAAATAGATCATTAACGATAATGACTGTTTGGTTACACACTATATTTCAGATTTTTAAAAGGCATGTTTATTGGGAACTTTTAAAATTGAAGTGTATGCAGCTAGCTGAAAATTACTTAGTCACAACTTCTTATTTCATAGATAATACAAGTTAACCAAAATAAATGAACTTACCAAACTTGCCACCTAAGGCTCAAAATTAAGACCCAAGAGGTTTGTAGGAAGAATTTAATACCAATGAAAGCTATGAGATATAACTATTGTACAGGCACTCAGTTAACTCCTCCAAGCAGAGTTAACTGACCTGGCTCTTGTCGATTTTAGACCTCTGAATTCACTCAGTTTTAGTTCTGTTTCAGCAGACTTAAGAGAAACAACGGAGCAGTTCACCTATGCTATTAAGGCAAAGAGAAACTGATTTATGTCCATTTTACCTTTGAAAGGTCTCTCTGAAATCATCGGGATATCATTTCTCTAAAAGTTTAGAACTGCTTATAATTAAGTTGAAGCTTCTTCTGGTAAAATTACTGGGCCTAAGCCAAGTAGCAAATCTCATACTTCAAGCCCTTCCTAGGATATTATGCAAAACCCTCCTAGTGCTGAGCACCATATAAAAAATTAAAGTAGCAATGTTTCAGTTAAGTAAAAAATAAATAAATTCTAAACATTAGAAAGGTTCTCTGAATAGCGGTTCGCATAAGAAGGCGAGCAAAACGCTATCAAGGTTTTAGAGTGACCAATTTATAGGAACATCTTCTGCATTTATATAACGGCAATTGAGTTCAAAATACTTTCAAAAACTAAGAAGAAAACCCAAGTTAAGTTAGACAAGACAACTGGAAGGTGAAGCAACCTATTCAAGATTAGAGTAGCACACAGTTTAACTCCATTCCACTTTCAAATTTTTAATGAATAACTATTTTAAGAATATGGATGGCTTTGCCGACTTACATAATGTGAAATGCATCTCTCCATAAAGTAACAATAGAAGTAAATGTTTACAGGGTTTGAACTGTGTTTAAGACTATGTTCTATGGGCAAAAAAAAACATTATTTGTTTTGTATTATGTATATTTAATAAAGGCAGGAGTCTTCCCCTACCTAAATCTGTATTTTTAAGCAAACAAATATCTAGTAAGACTTCACGAAGTCTAAACATCCTCTTAAAGAATTTTTACAAAGCTTAATAGCAGACTATTTCAGATCAGTTTTACAACCCTAAAATAAAAATATATTTATCTGAGAATTAACATGAATCAGACAAAATAGTTTGCATTTGAATTAGTCTGTTTCAAGAAGTACACCCTTCTAACATGCTAATATTTTTTCCTCAACTTTCCAGATTATTTAAATATACCTTTTAACATTAATGATGCTATATATTCTAAAACCTAACTCACTCTACCAGTATCAGTAACAAGCCCAGACCCTGAGGGAACGACCTAAGGCAGAAATAAGTTGGTGACTAACTGCAAGCTGGAAACAGCAGACATATTCCAGCGTGATTAGGGCAGAAAAATCTCTAGAGCTAGTACTGGGTGGCACCAGGCTTTCAATATGGGGTCACCTCTTGACCAAGAATGAGGACAAGCTGACAGCTGCTTGCCATTCATACCTGCCAAAAACATTGAAGGGGAATAGCTTAAGAGTAAAGAAAAAAAATCAGCTGAACAGTTGCAAGTCATAAGAGAACCAGAGTGTAACTCTGAACGTTTCTAAGTTGACAACCAACTTGGAATATTACAGCAAGCCACCATTCAAAAAACATGAAGTAAGAATAGGAAAAAAAATGGAAAATAAAAATGCAATGTTAAAAAAAAGAATCACACAGCAGGACTAGAAGCCAATCACCTTCAGTAAGGAAAACGTTAACTTCTATACTAGTCCTTACACACTTCAGTGAAGGGAGGCTAGTAATACTTCCTTTTCTACACGCTTTCCTTGTTAGCTTGAGCAAGTTTTTGCATGCTATTGACAAAGACCTTCAAATCACTGTACTCAATACAATCAATTTATATTGATCTGTCAAAGATTAATTTGAGCTTTAATTTCTATATTAATTCTTCCCAGTCAGGGTATTGCTGCCCATGTATCTGCTCCACAGGATTCCATAACAGCAACATATTACTGCATTATGGATAATACAATATGACATACAGAAAGGATCTTCAAGTGGGTTTTTTTTTTTTTTTTACATGCTATGTTATGCATGACACTGATCAAGCTTGCAAATATTAAATATTTATATTTGACTCCACCATTCAAGTCTAAAGCTAACACCAACAAGTCAGGTTTTCACATAGATGTTGCACAAATGTGAACAGTATTTGATGTTCATTCCAGCAAATTAGTAAGTGCACTGTTGCACATGTATGGGGAAGCTGCTCAGTGGACTGCTTCATCTTCCTGAAGGGTTCTGGGTTGGGGTAGGGAACAGGGGGGACAGGAAGAGGATGTTTAGTGAAGTGGTGGCTGATTGTTATTTTTAGAAGTGAAGTTTTCTTAGAGAAAAAGAGCCACTCATAAGGAAGAGCAGTCTGATCAGCTCAGTGAGAAGTAGCAGGTAATATTTTCTCCCATTTCCAATGAGGAAATCTTTACATCCAATGACGATAGGAAAATTTCTGGTTAAAGAAAACACTCAGGAATTTGAGAAAAATAGCTAATTGAACTGATCCTCAGTATGTTTAGGCTGATGACCTTCCAAGTCACTTCTGTGTTAGCAGTCATTTAACATCTAAAAGGATAATTTCTCTACTCATTCTTGTATTTCTTTCCCAATTTTATATGCTGTATTTTACATACAGGCAACATAACTGTCACTTTCACCTCATGCTATTACTTTTCCAAAAGGCAACAGAGAAAAACCAAGGTAATGCCATTCTACTTATACTACATTAACTTAGAGCCATTCAAATAAAGGCCTTTTTAGTCCTAATATAATTTTGATAAGCCAAGTAACTTTAGATGCTAACATTGATGGTAAGATTTCATTCTACACTAAACTCAGGCCCGAGAGACACATTCCCTCCAAGAAAGCGTCTGCCTAACTATTTGAATTTATTTTAAAGAAAAAATTCAGCAAGTTTTGACAACTCAAAGACTGTCAAAAACAATCCCTAGCCCCTGCTGAGATGCATTTCCCATCTCCTTTTACTAATACAGCAGTTAAGGAAAAAGGTATATTTACTTACATCAATGGAAATGCAAAAAATGGAAGTGTCATAATCAACCTTGCTGTCCATTCATCAGGAAGACACCACAAATACACAATTAGACAGGTGATAAGATAAAGAAGTGAAGAGTAGAGAAGCAGCCTTCCAACCCATAGTTTCTGAAGTCTCTGATTTTTCTCTCTAAATTCTTCTAATGTCTGTATTTCCTGTAAATAAATGGGAGTTCAAGCTTATTAATGAAATTAGTTGGTGGTTTTATTAAACTGACCTTAACTGTTTGTCAGTTATCAAACTGATGTGACTAATTTTAACAATGCTTGCCCAACAGATACAACTTCCACAGTATAAACTACATCACAGCATAAAGGTTATGATATGGACTACTTGCACCTTATCCACAATAACACAGTGCTGCTGGGCAAATAATGCAATAAATTAACACATTTTTCCTGCTTTAATGATTTAGTAAATTTGGGATGAGGGGAAAAAGCTAGTATCTTATGAATTCCAACCTTCCTATGATCACATAGGTCTGCTATACCAAAATACTTTGCATCCTAAAGTTTTCATTAGGCATCTGTGGTATTTCAAATGCTTCCAGTACTTCTCTACTAACATGCAAAATTGCTGAAACTTTTCAGTCACCTCAAGTATGTTTTCATTTCAGTATTTCCTTACATTAAGAAGGAAAGCCTGAACATCGGAATGATGCTTTTGGCATATTAATAAGCAATCCAGCAATGCTCTGCTGTGTTACCATTTTGATTGCATTTCAAGTGGCAACAAAAGTACTCATAGTTTCATCAAAAGGAAACAAAAATACCAACAACATATTTCAAAACAGTTAGTTTCCCCATAGACTACAGAAAATTGTCACAAATTCTGGCTAGTATCACAACCGATTACTGAACTGTCTATTCAGTTATTCTGCCCACGACCTTACTTACTACCACTATAGTTAGAACTGTAAGACTTAAAAACATATATGGAAGCTTTGCTAATGTGCCTGACAAATCAAGCTTCGCTTTAGTGACATTTTTCTGGGGAACATAAAATGAGAACTTAACCATTAGCTGTAACTAAATTGTCTAATCCATTTCATGCTGTCTAAATATATATTTAAACTATGGTATACTGTATAGTAGTTTCAGTGTTTTTTTTTTTTAAATGATTAATGGTAAGGGAAAGAAAGGTAGCAGGGCATCTGAAACTTATCATCTCTAGCACATGCAATAAAAATATCAAAATAATTTAAATTTCATTACAGTATTTTATGTAACGCATGTGCAAAACATGGCTAGCGAAAGGAGATGTATTTGCTTTCTGTGGTGTTTTGTTCAGAAATACATACCTTATCAATTTTTTCTAATACTTCTACAGTGGAAGGCTTTGCCTGCTTACATGGGAAAGAAAAGAGATGTTAACCTTAAGAAAATTCAGCACCTTGAGGGTCATTTCAGGATAACAGCCTCCTAACAAAAACACACATACTCATGGAGTAATATGCTGTCTATTTTACACAAAAAGAGTTCTCCTACTTCAGTGTCTTCTGTTTGTCATTGTTAATGAATCACTTTCTTTTACAGTTGCTGTTATTATCTGAAGGTCTCCTACACCAAACACGAAAGCCTACAATGCCTGTACAATAATAATGGATGCGTGGGTAGGAAGTGAAACAAGGAGAGAACTGGTGAGCAGATGGAAATGGTAAAAAGAAAAGAACATAAACAAAAAACCTTATTCTGAAAACTTAAGCTTTTACTACTATTCACTCCACAAAGACACATGCTCTTAGTAAATGATAAGCAATTGCAAGTAAGTTCTCTCATCTCCAGTAAAACTCCCCTTAGGAAAAACCTGGAATCCACCTTCTAAGACTCTTCCCTAATTTCTGAGACATATGAAGCTATTAATTACATTCCCCCACCCTTCAGGCCCACACTGCATCACCATGGAAGCTGGGAGCCTCTTTCTTTCTATTATGCAAAACTGACATCTTCAACTCTTGCTTTTAAAGGGGTTTTGTATGGAAAGCTCTCAAATAGATTTAAAATATGCAGAGGCAAACCAAACTAGACCCAGGCCTGTCACTGTGGAAGGGAAAAAAAAAAACCCACACACACAAAGCACAGCCATCCAGCTATGCAGTTCTGAGTTCTTTGTGGGCAGGGCAAGGACAGAGTCTTTGTCATTTTATCTCACACTTGCTTGGCTACTGACTTTTTAAATCAGTGTATTTAGAGGAAAATTTTAGTATTAGCATTTAACCATCAAGAGCAAATACAGAATTATAATAAGAATCCTATCAACTGATTAAGAACAGCATGTCCTGGAAACTCCAATCTTCTAGACTAATTAAAGATTATAAGATTGTAACAAGTTGTACTTACCCTCCACCTTGAAATTAATCCACCCATCTTCTACGTGTGGATAAACGCTGGCAGATTTATCAGTCTTCTACTAGAATTCACAGCTAGAAGTAAAGCATTAAGTACTTAGAGCTCCTGACAACATACTCCAAGATTCACCAATTTATTCCAATACCTAGAGGAACCCACAACATAAAATCATTGCCTAGTTATCCACCTTTATATTATTTTAGAAAAGGGGCTATAAAATGAAATATTTTATCAAGTCAGTTATCAGTCATGATGGGGCCAAACTTATTTTTACTTTGGAAATACTTAGCAAGAAGTGAGCCCTCAAAAACAGAGCCACAGAATAACTGCTAAAAGAAAGGCCAAAATCCTCTGATACAAAAGCAACTTAAGAAAGTTACTAAGATAGATTTAAAAAACTGATTTCAGCTAACTCCTCAGCTGCTCATTAGCATAACTCCCAATGTTTCTTCTCAGCCTACCTGTCACTGCAGACATCCACCACTAACATCCTTTTATTCATGATGAAGAAGAGATTACTTCCTGGTAATGCGCTAACCAATAACGAGTTTATTGTATAGTGTTATTATTATTCTTTGGCAAGATTAGTTTTACGTAGAAATAATAAGATAGTTTAAAACCCAGCTACTGAGACTTCACTTGCTCCTGAAAAGCACCCCACTCACAGATGTTCCCTGCACATAGCATATACAGTGCAGAAACCAGCATATCAAATCGCCCTAAAACAATTCCAAGGATGCAAAAGTAGTTCACACTCTAGACAAATTGGGAGCCCATGAACAGCAATAATTTGATGATGTGGATCCAGGTTCCTGAAATAAAAGTGTAATACCTTCCTATCAGTAGCTAGCTAGAACAAACTAATTTTGAACCACAGGATAACAGAATTTCTCTCCAGTCATTTACAACTTTTTCATTCACTGGATAAAAACACTTATCAGTTCATAGCAACATTAACAGGAAACCAAGTCTCAATCCCAGCTGGAAACTAATGTTCAACAAAAGCCTTAACTCTAGAAGAAAACAGTAAGACTTTGAAAACTAAAAAAAAAAAGGAAAAGCAATGATCCACCTAAGCAAACATCTAAGACAGATATGATTATTAATTTGGTCAAATCACCTTTGGCCAAAAACAGAAAAATAAAGAAACCTCACCTAAACCCAAATTTTTTCCCAAAGATACCTGAAACTGCCAGAACAAATTAATATAGCATCAGATAAAGAATTAACGCAGCATGGCAACCTCTTCACCTTTTAAGACAGACAAAGACTTCAGAACCCAGAACTATGATTTTGAAAGCCAGTCCTTAAAGACAGTAAGGAAACCCACATTTTAACTACCACCAAATTGAACCTAGAACAGACCAGTCACCTCTGCCAAATTACTAACACAAAAGGGGTGAGCTACAGAAAACAAAACAGTTACCTCTGGGCCTCTTGAATGAATTCTCAAAGTCACTACTACAGCAACTCAGCTCAGTAAAACAATAGGAATATTTTTATTTTTCAATACACATTGCAACTGTTCTCTAACATTGAGAATTTTATATAACTTCCACTTGGCAGTTACAGGTAAGTTTCTGCATGCCAAGTATTGCAGTAGACCCTATCTGAGCAAATACACTCTTCACAAATACTTTGGAGGGATAGATAATACCTTTATTGCAAAACAACACAAAAGCTATGCCAAAGGCTCAAAATCATCAATTAAAAAGTCTGTAAACAGAGCATGAAGTTCTCACATCTCATTTGCTTCCCTAACATTGCCATTGTTGCTAGTAGCAATGGTAGCGCTCAGCTACGTATATGCACGGAAATATACATAAACTGAGATGCTTCCATTGCCTTTTGGTATCTCATCTTTCTTTGCATCACAGTTCGAGAACCTCTGTAGTAGACGCGCTAGGAGATAGTTGTACGTGAGCCACTGGTGACACCGATCTTTGTCAATAGCACATTCACTGTGATATCACTACATATGCTTTTCAACATATCTGACAAATATCTGGTAGGGAAACAGGCTTGGCAGGTGTCACCACACATAATTTTACATGAACTATGATGCTGACAGGTTTTACACATCCTGCTTAAGTTAGTAACGCTACTGAAATCCTTCCTCAAGGAAGTATTAAAGGATAAAACTAAACTCACATTTACAGTTCCTACAGTGAACCCTTATTTGGGAGATAAGCAATTTTCTACAGTCTCTGTGGAGCACCTCAGAAGTTTTCCTTCTTCCCTTTCTTCCTCCACATCTTTTCGATATGACCACAACACATGTTGTCTTCGATAGCTCATAAGCGTAACTCCCAGTGTGCCTCCTCACTTGTCACTCCAGAAATCCACCCGTAACATCATGACTGTTCATGATATGTATCCTTGCTCCACAATTCTATTGCCTTGACATACTCTAACCAACAATTTGACTCATAGCATTTTTACTCTGTAAGATGTTGCGACCGGGCTTATTTCCAAACATATTATCACAGATTTAATACACAAATGAGATAAGCCTACAGGTAGCAATTGTTGCAGCTAAAAGAAACAAGTGTTTGAAAAACACTTGATGCATAAGCTAATAAAAATTGGTAATAGTATTTTTTATAACCTGACTCTCCAAAAAAAAATAAAAAACCTGAATTTCCTCATAGCACCTCCTTTACTCCAAAAACATGCAACTTCATAAAAAGCAAAGCAAAAGTACAACCAGTAAGTGAATTACAGAGTACAGAGTTTCTCTTTTGAAAGAGGCATGTGCAATCACGCACAATTACAGAACAGTCATCCACCATCCTTTTCATCTAAGGAAAGAAAAGTTTGATGATCTCACTACACTCTTATTAAGTCATACAATGAAGCAGACAGCTTTCTTCAATTAAGAATACGAGCATTTTGTGTCTCCTGTTAGAGTTAAGGAGGATTCCAAACAAAATCATCCTATGGCTCCAAATTAAGTTGTAATATCTGAAATGTTGAGGTTCAGGACTGAATAACATTAAATGAAGTCATACTGAAAGGAGAAAACACAGCTTAGAAATATATGCAATCAAGTCCTTGCGTGAAGAACTAGTCCTCTTTCTCCTTAAAGAAGGGAAAATACCCTTCAGAGGAGACATTTCACATATAAAATGAAATTACTAACATTACAAGTTTATCACAACCACCAAAGAGTCAAAGAATACAAGGCCTGTTTTTCAAATCGATGCTCTAGTTCTGCTGACAGTTTTCACACGTAATTCATACTCACCCACAATTTATTGCTCTCTCAATCTTGCACAGCAATTGTAAGAATTTTCTTAAGCTATGAATACCTTGGACAAGTACATAAGCAAAACAAAGCCAAGAGCACCATCCAGCACCTATTGCTAGCCTGTTTCAGCACCTCTCAGTTACACCAAGATATATATTTTTGGTGATCTTTAGCTTAATTTTCCCTTTATTCCATTTGAAAGCACCCAAAGGTCTTATGTTTTTAAACCCCTTGATTAAAAAGGCAAACTTAGTTTCAAAAAGTGACTTTAAAACGATGAACAAAGGAATGGGTGGGTCGAGCACTTCTTAAAGCCACCTCTTGTTCTGAAGCCCTACAACAGCAACAATCAGCAATCCCGAGAGAAAGCAGCGAGCCCCGGCTCCCGCTCCCGCCGGGCGGCAGAGAGGGCAGAGGGGAGACAGCTTCAGCTCAGGGCAGCCGTTTGCCCGGCCGGCCACTTGCGACAGGGCCGGAGGGGAG